TATATAGATGGAGGAAAAAAATATTCATTTCCAGGTATATAAAAAATTTTTCTCCGTCTTTTACCATTTCAAACTCCTTGTTTGGTCCTATTTGTGGGCCCACCTGAAAGAGACCAAAGTACAATTCGTCCAAAATGAAATCTGTCTGCTAGCATCACATAGACAAAGTTAACATGAATTTCCAGCACGTAGCTTCTTCTGCTTATACTGGAGGTTCAGCACCTACCACTCTCGTATGTCTGATTGAAAGTGTACTACAGATGAAATTATTTTGTAAGTATTGAAATTTAAATTAAAACAATGATTGTTATTTGTGTTATTTTATCATTGTTAGATAATTTTATTGACAATAAAAGAATGACCAGACTGTTCATGCGGGTTTGTGCTTGTTTTGCTGCACTCATGCCACATGTTGAATATGTCTGACAGGCATCAGATTTAATAGTTATAACCTACAGCTTCCTGACACACACACACACACACACACACACAGAATTATTTCAGGTAAAGGCCGAAAGCGCAACACAAGGATCTCTAACCGTGCGCTGTTGGGCATTTGTTGAAGGGCTACACAGGGATATTGAACAAAAAATAATTTATTGATCATGGTCTAATATTGAGATAGAAGAAGAGTCTACAATGTCATGGAAAAAGAAAAATGTATTTCAAGGAAGATGAAGATTTATTGCAGTTTGACTCGCTTGTCCCAAATCCACTCTGTAATTTGTTGAGACAGGCTTACAAGTGAGGCAATGCGACTATCAAAAATTGAGCCTGAACTCGAGTCAAAGATATACTCGTCCTATTCTTGTATCTTTCCACAAATCCTTCATCTTATCTTAAAATAATTGCCAATTATGAGGATGATAGCTATTTAACAACAAGCGTTGATTGGTCGTAACCTGTGCCCTGAGAAACTGTGATGTCATTTTCAGTTGGTGGCAAAATGGCTGCCCCCTGAGCTGGATAAAAACAGGTGGCTTTTACTGCTTAACTCATATTCCACATAAGCAATATGAATCAGAATGCCATGTTTACACTAGTGTATTAACATCAGGTGTTTTTGTGTGTGTGTGTGTGTGTGTGTGTGTGGCTAAGCTGGGCTGATCCAGATGCACCACATGGAGATGATGACCAGGGCGTAGCAGGAGATGAGCAGGAGATAGATGCGGAAGAGCAGGAAGTCCAGGACGTAACCTACGTGGCACCATTGCTCTTGCAGCTCATTCTCCTTCTGCATGGAAGTTAGGTAAGCACGGAGCTCGCTCAGGTGCTGACAGATCTGCTGGAGCTCGGCCATTGCGGCAGTGCCTGGTAAAGTAGGTGTTTGGGTCATCGCACAGTCGGAAATATGATGTGTCTCCAATTTGGCAAAAAAAAGGACTAAATGTGTTCACCTTCATTGCTGATTGGGTTTTCGGCCGAAGTCCTGCTTTCGGATTGGGTGATTGGACCCGGTGCTTCAGAAGATTTTTCCTGAATCACTGAGGGAGGCTGTGGCTCCTCTTGCCAGCGGTAACAGATGAGGTTGGCGACATGTTGAAGCACCACCACCCTCACCCAGCGTGGGACCTCTAGATGTTTCATGGAGTTGTTGTGGAGAACGTTCGTAATGACGACGGTCTCCAGCAGGCTGATCACCATTAGGGCAAGACACACTGAGAAGTAGATACCTGCAGTGAGGAATACACATTGACGAGTAAGAAAGTGAGGGTGTAGTCATGCTCAGGAGCGGGCGGCTCTAACTATATGTAAGGTAATATAATATTTCAAATACAATGTGTTGTATTTGAATGACTCTTCTTTCATTGAGTGAATTTATCCATCCATTCATCCATTTTCTGAACTGCTTTATCCTCACTCGGGTCGCGGGGGATGCTGGAGCTTATCCCAGCTGTCTTCGGGCAGTAGGCGGGGGACACCCTGAACCGGTTGCCAGCCAATCGCAGGGTACACAGAAACGAACAACCATTCAGACCAAGGGACAATTTGGAGTGTTCAATCAGCCTGCTATGCATGTTTTTGGAATGTGGGAGGAAACCGGAGGACCCGGAGAAAACCCACGCAAGCACGGGGAGAACATGCAAACTCCACACAGGAAGGCCGGAGGTGGAATTGAACGCGGTACCTCTGCACTGTGAAGTTGACATGCTAACCACTCGACTACCGGGCCGCCCAAGTGAATTGAAAAAGACATATTTTCCATTTTAATTAGGAGACGGGGTCCGAAATCAATACATTTGCATTTCAACTGTCGAACTTGTAGCTTTCAAACATTTACAAACCCCAATTCCAATGAAATTGTGACGTGTAAAATGTAAAGAAAATCAAAATACAATGATTTTCAAATCCTTTTAAACCTGTATTCACTTGAATTAATGTGTTAAATGTTTTTGCAACTACAGTATTCTCTCATTTTTAATTTGATGTCTGCACTATGCACTCTGCTCCCCCCCCAAAAAATAAAAATAAATAAAAGCTGGGATAGGCACAGTGAAAGACTGGGAAAGTTGAGGAATGCTAAAAAAAACACACACTACAGGTGAACATATTCATTTGAAACAGGTGAGTGTCACGACTGGGTATAAAAGAAGCTTCCTCCAAAGGCTCAAATTGCTCCCAAGAAAGATTGGGGTGAGGCTCAACACTTTTTGAAAAACCGCGTGGGCAAATGGTGCAACAGATTAAGAACAACGTGTCTCAATATAGAGAGTCGATTCTCCTGATTCACTCCGTCTGTTCCGGATCTACTGAACGTATCACAGCCTCTGACCTATGATGGGTGTTCCATTAGCGGTGCTGGGCAGTAGGTCATTCATGATGAGCAGGAAGACGGTATAGCCCAAGATGAGGGTCATCTTGAAGGAGGCCCGGTCCACGCTGTGGGGAGGCAGGTAGAATGACAGGATGTCAATGAGCATGAGGAAGGAGCTGGGGATGAGCAGGTTGACCACGTAGAGCACTGGACGTCGCTTTATCACCACCTGAACGACAAGGAAAAGGAGCTTTGAATGGGAAAATGATCAAAATATTTTCCTCATGAGATGCATTACCAGTTTCGCTCACCCAAAAAGTAATTATGTCCCATTCGTCAATCCCAAACTGCAGGATGGAGGTTTCTCCTAGTATGTCCACCAGTTCCCACTCTCCACTGGCTTCCAGGTAACGCTTCGAGTTCCCAGACATCTCCTCGAAGGTCAGCGCTGGGCTAACCCTCACGTCACGTACTAGAGAACAAACAATTTAGAATGCTTTGCCAGCCTATAACCGCATTCTGTATTTTCTTACTGGTGTGCATGTAGGAGCCAAAGGTAAAAGTGCAATTCTGCACATCAAAAGGAAAACTGAAGATCTCCAGGTTGCAGGCTGAGACGAGACGCAGCATCCTGTCCCAACGAATGTGACCTGTGTGGTTGATGTAGACATACGGACAAGCTTGGGAGACGTCGTCGTCAACGCTGGACGGCGGAAGTGGGTGGGTAGACGGAAAAACACATTTAGTTGATGAGAAGATCCATGAGATATATGAGAGCGCTATCCACCCATAGGCCAATTCATTGGGTACGCCAGAAAACTCAAATGAGATCTAAGAGCTTTTCATTTCTTTCTAGGAGGTGCAGCATATTTGAATTTATGATCATTTTTGGGGTGTGCAACAATACACACGGATAGCAACAATAAACATCCTTGATCCATGATCACATATCCATGAGTCAATAATAACACCTGAACTTTTCATACAGCTCCCGGATCATACTAAAGGTGTGGTTCCTGAGTTGATAAGCAGCTTTAGTGAATTGAAATTATATTTACGTTGAATCGCACACCAATGTTCGATATCCTTACGTTATGTAAGTACACGTCGGGAACTCGCGCAAAAGGAAACGTACAACTCATAGATGATGATATCTGGAGTCCAGAGTTTGTTCACAGGGAGCGAAATCCTGGAGACTCCATCACACTTGTCAGGATCCCAAACGAGAAACTCATGATGCCAGTACTGCAAATAAAAAGTCATCAGCGGGATAATGACTTCAGCGTTAGCGCTTCCTGAACAGATTGCCATTCAATTCCTGGAGTGAGGGCTTTACTGTAAAGCAAGAAGACAATGCTTGAAGTACAAAATTAAAGAATCATAGAATAATAATAAATACAACAGCCTACCACACGTTGGTGTATCTTTTAACATTTTACAGCTTGTATTCTTTATTTATATTTAGCTCATTATATTATACGCATATTATTATTAAATTACTAATAATTCAATAAAAAAACAAAATCTGACTTTTGGATTTTTAAACTAAAATAAATTCACACTATTTTGCCAAAAATAAGGAGGTTACATACCAGTCTCAGCCACAAGAATGTTGTAAGAATCTGTGTCTTCTCATTCTTAAAACGACGACAACAACACAAAGAGAAAGGCCCTGTGGTTACGATGACATCTTCCTCCATCATGCTGGAGGAGGCTGATTCAAATTGTAATATTAAGAATGATGATAATTACACAATATGAAAGCCAGTTATGGGCTTCCTGACTGATTTGCTAAATCGTAGGTGTCAAACTCAAGGCCCGCGGGCCATATCCGCGCCAAGTTAACATTTAATGTGGCCTGCGAAGGTTCCTTGCAACACTGAAATATGAGATGCTGCACACATTTTTTTTTTTTTTTGTCAGCACATAAAATGAAAAATAGTTGAATAACCACTTATGGCAATTACTGGCTTCTGATTTCAAAACTAGTTAAAGTATAAACTCACCACCCCGAGTACGGCATACAGTGTGAAGGAGATGTTGGTCACCGTGGGATTGCTCAGGTTGACCACTGGTCGGAAAGCTTGTAAGTCAAAAACAGCTTGCATGGACTCATGGGATGGGCCGCTTTCGCCCTGGTTACATGACAGTTCACTGTGCCGCTGTGCAGCTAAATCTACAATTGCATGAGTGGCAAACAATTGGAGAGGACAGGCTGGGAATGACACTTGAAAAGTACAGTATATGGACAAGCTTTAACAAATGACGCAGACTCAATGCGACATGGGTAGCTGACAGTGTCTTTAAGAGTCTGAAAATGCCATTTTCAGACCTTTTCAGACCCTTTTCAAGTACAGCCAATATAAAATGAGGAGTTGGGGTTAAATGTGTGGCGTCTGAAAAGACATCTAAATACGTCTTTGGGAGTGAATGAGTTAAGTAGAAATATGTAGATGTGGATTTACTGTGTGTGTGAGTGTGTGTGTGTGTGTGTGTGTGTGTGTGTGTGTGTATGTGTATATATATATATATATAGCACTTATTTTTTTTCCACTGAAAGCATTGCATGAATATATGTCATTCGAAAAGAGTTTGGCAGTAATACTCTAAAACCCCCTTTTCCGTTGACATTTTCTTACATGTCTTGTGTACTATATACGAGGATGCGTGTCTGTGCTGGGAAACAAGCCGCTCATTTTAATGACTGGAGACTGCTGAAATTGAGAATAACTAATGAGTGTGAGCGTGCATTTGAGAGCGGGCGTGCTTTTTGTGGATGTCTGCGTGCAGGGGTGCATGGGCCTAGAGTGGGGTGCTGCTGCTGCTTTTGGCTCTTTGTGGCTCTCTGTGAAGCGGGGTCGACCTTGTGGGGCTCTCCTCTGGGGCCCGCACAAAGCCAGTGCAGGATTATCCACCCAGGGACAAAGTGTGCGATTACCATGAGAAAGCAGGCAGCCCCGGCCTCATAGCTGAGGACTGCCAGGCCTGCTGGAGAGGTGGGCCGCCACTCATTAGCTGCAGGGAGATGCTGAATGCAGGCGCACACTCACTGCCGCGCGCACAAAGGAAAACACAATGACACACACGCACAGTGATATGCATGCTCATACTGATGCACAAAACACATGCCTCTAGTGTCTGAAAAGTTCTTTCCTGTTTTTGGATGATGAATTTGAACACAAGGGAGCGAGCCCATTTGAACCCAACTGTGTGAATTTCTATAAAAGGAACGTTGAAAGCCGTAAACCTCAACTAATGAGAGCATGGATGCAAGGAAAATGAATCAAACTTAATCTGTGAAGAAGTAACACTTAAAAGGTGAGTACGTTTGCAAATGAATAGTGAAGGTGTGTGCGTTACTTTAACAGTGGTGTAGCGCATGTGCTTCACAATGCACTGGCAGAAATTGCAAAGCCATCCTGCTGCGACCCTCCGAAAAGAGAGCCACAGGTCTTTGGAAGCATTTGCATGTTAAGCCGCTGATCAGTGGATTTGCCACCTCTTCACTGAAGAGTTTCTTGCATTAAAAGGATGAGCTAAAATGATCCAATTAAAAATTCTACTGCTAAAGTACGGTAATGGTAATGATGATCACACCACGGCATAGTAGTTCACACCAGGTTCTATTATCCTTGACATAAAAGAGAAAGAGAGATCTCTGTAAAGCACATAATACAACTGCTGCTTCAGGCAAAGCAATCAGTGAGTAAGTGAGTAAAAGTCATTACCTGTAATTAGCAGGAGAGTTGTTATGAGGGGCATTATCCGATGCGACCGACACATGTTGCAAGTTTTTCCTTGCTCAGATATAATTTGAATATGATATCTGCTCAGATATAATTTGAATATGATATCATTAAAGTAAAGCCCCAAGCGTGAAGCCGAGTGGGCTGTTGCTGCAACACTGATTGCCAGCGAATAGGCACACCCAGTTTTATCATTACGGTAGCATCACGTTGACTGAGATTAAAAATCTCTGGAGGTTACTGCAACTCGTTGGTAACATCTTAATGTCCAAATGCCAAACTTGAATTTATTCTATTAATGGGAGGCAAGTTTCAACTCGAAAATATAGTTTGCCTTTTGGGAGGACAAAAAGAGGTAAGTCATAGAGTTTACCTTAACAGAATGGTAGTTATGGAGATGGGTATTCACTCTAAACAACCACCTACACTTTTCCCTTGTTAACACCTTCAGTAATCATTCGACCATTTTATTTTTTAACACCTTCACCTGTGGGACTTGCATTATGGTAAACTCTACATTCTTGCATGTTAGTGTGTTGTTGAACCATGTATTGATGTTTTATTTGTGGTTGTGATTGAAAAATTAGGCAACGACCTTACTGTATTAAACTTTGAAATGCATTTTCCCCACACTTAACTAAAACCTTTTACGACAACTTGTATAAAGACCATGGAATGAAACTGACTGAAACAAAAACAAAAAAAAAACGCAAACAAACAAAAAAAATGCAACTTTAATTGTTGACGCACAAATACTTGAAGACATAAAAATGTATAATATATAAAACAATTATTTTAATGATGATGACGATGAGAGCTGCGTCTCTCCCAACTGACTTGGAGCCAGAGGCGGGGAACACCTTGCCAGCCGATCACAGGGCACATGTACAGGCAAACAACCTCTCACGCTCACGAGTTAAATTTCCATTCTTCCTTCAATAGTGGCCCACTGACAATTAAATGCCACCCTCAAAATGAACGCTTCCCTTTTTCCATTAGGAAAATAAACTGGTTGTACCACTAAGGGCTCGACATACACAGACGGTACAGCTGCATAAAACTGACGCACCCGGATTTTCGGACGCGTCAGGATTTTTGATTTAAAAATAATGCACACACAAACACAATATTTGAACCCAGAACCAAAAAAATCTCATTGTAGTTAATAGAATGCATTAATGAACCTGTAGAACAAAAAACATCACGAAATGATGTGGAATAATTTAAAAGGGTAAAACTAACGCTCCTACTCGCAAACAGGACAAAAAATTTAAACACTAAATGAATGCACAACATGCCAGTTTCTCTCATGAGGCGTTGTACGAGTTGACCCACATGCCGATGATGCAGATGAAGCTGACGGATAAGAAGAGGATGTAGATGGCGAACAGCAGGCGATCTATGATGAAACCTACTTGGTTCCAGTCCTCTGTGCTCTGGCTGACGTTCAGTTCCTGTTCCACTTTCAGCCGGATGACTCGGAGGTCTCGTCCCAGGCTCCTCAGTTCCTCCACGGCCTTGTCCTCGTCCAGTGGGCCCTCTGGTCCGTGGGCCTCCCCCTCACTTGCTCTCTTAGTGGAAGCGTTCATTTCTGTTACGGGGTAGAAGAGAAGAATGCATCCTTGTCATTTTACTCCTTTGGTGTCTTCAGGTTGTGTCTCACCTAGTGTGGCGGGATTCTGGATGATCTGCTCCATTTGTGTGGGCTTTGGAGGAAGCAGAACCAGGTGGCCCAAAATGTGGATGACTGACAGTCTGATCCAGCGAGGAACCTCTGAGTAGTGAGTAGAACTGTGCAGCAGGTTGGTAATGAGAATGGTTTCCAGAAGACTCACTACCATCAGAGCCAAGCAAAGGGACAGGAACACACCTGGCATGACAAAAGATGATGCATAACATCTCTTGGGCAATTCTTTGGCAATTCCATATTTGATTTTACGCCGCCCTGTCCGGCTCATAAATGTGCAAATCTGACTCAAATGTCCGTGCCTCAGCAGCCATGAACCTCACTGCGTTTAAGATACCTGTCAACCTACTTATGAGCGGAATGGTGTTTCCGGTGATGGGCAGCAGGTCGTTCATGAGGAGCAGGAAGACGGTGAAACCCAAGATGAGGGTCATCTTGAACAAGGAGCGGTCCACCTTCTGAGGAGGCAGCAGAAAACTGAAGAGGTCCACTGTGATGAGGAAGCAGGAGGGGATCAGCAGGTTGACCACGTACAGCATGGACCTGCGCCGCACTGAAATCTGGTGAAAATTACATTTTGTCACCGTTTCACTTTCTGGGGACCAAAAAAAACAACATTTTCCGTGACTTCATCCTTCAGCATGGATTGAATGAGCACCGCGCCAGCTTGAAAATCAAATGTGGCTTGAGAGCACAAAAGCTCGCCCACCCCTGATGTTGGTTTACAGCTTTTAGGACATAAACAATATGTAAGGGGAGTAAATTGATCCTTACAAAGAAGCGAAGTTCTTCATAAGTGCTGTTAAACGAAGTTGGTAGCTGCTGATGCAATGATTTGATTTCAGTGAGTTCCCATTCTCCCATAGTTGTCATCATTGTTTTGGAATATTGGAATACTTCTTCTGTTGACATGAAGCGGCCAATCTGTATTGCAGGTACTGAAAGAAACGCGTCTTTGATTAGTTTCATCTGAAATACAGACTGTGTTGAAATGCCCAAAAGACTGACTGTAAACAACAAGTGAAATACTGTATTTTCCCGGCAATGCCAAAACTTCATTACCATAACATATATATATATATATATATATATATACATATATATACATATATATGTGTGTGTGTGGATCAGTTCGTACTTACAAGAATGCAGGTAGGAGTTAAAGGTTAAAGTGCAGTTCTGGACGTCAAAGGGAAACGTGTAGATGTCAAGCCTGCATGAGCTCACCACTCTGACAGGCTGTAAATCGAACACGGTCCCGTCGTGATACACGTATGTGTATGGCGTAAACTGAGCTGAGTTCCTCTCCATGCTGCAGGAGGCGGACATTTCCAATCGTGAATTGAATTGTGTCCTTTTGTTGAACTTGAATATTTATTTTCATGGTGTTCATTGTTGGAGTGACTTACAATTCATTGATGACTATATCGGGGACCCATAGCACTTTTCTCGGGACTGTAATCCAATGGGAACCGCACTCGTTTGGGTCCCATCCGATGAACTCATTTCTCCATGACTGCAAAACAGAAGAACAGATAAAGAGTCACATTGTAACAAACCGTTCAAGATGAATTGCAATGCCACTCGAGCATTATTGATTCAATGCGCATAATTTTGCAATAGAAAAAAAAAATCCACAGCACACCATCAATCAAAAATGTCACAAAAAGAAGTCTGCCATCTAGTGGTACAGTTGTTAATTGTTTGGCCTGTCACAATAAGTCGCTGGCATAAATCATACTGTAGTTAAGCGAAGATATGTTATTGGTCGTAAATAATTTTCGGAGCAATGAAAGTTTAGTGACACATGGCACACTGGTTTGGAATCACTTCATTATACAGTCATAGTGTATTTCTATCTAATCTATCAGGCACTCTGAACCTCTGAGTTCACTTGGCAGCTCATTCATTCAGCCATGCAAGCATTTTCTATCGAGCTTGTCCTCGTTCGGTCACGGGTGAGCTATCCCAGCTGACTTTGGGTGAGAAATCGTGTACAGCCTGACAGCATGAAGTGCACCAGCCAATTGCAGAGCACATTATGACCTCAAACCTCAGAAGTGTGAGCCAGATGTGCTCACCAACAAACCACTTTGAATAAAAAAAACAAGAAGAAATTGATGACTCACCAACATTTGGACGATAAACGTTGTCAGGATCTGACCCTTTTCATCCTGAAAGAAGTCAATATGCTTCATTTGAGAGGAGGATGCTGACAATGAGAGAATTTATGACCTTTGCAATGAATGCCAGCTTCCCTTACCACCCCGAGAATGCCAATAAGGATGAAGGAAATATTGACAAGCGTGGTGGTTGAAACGTTCATGACCGGTCGAATGGAGCTGAGGTCAAAGACGGGTCTGAGAGCCTCCAGCAGGGCGGGGCCATCCGGGCGAGTGCAGTTCGACATGATAGAGCCGCAGGATGCTAAACAAAGACCAAAAATCAACGGCACTGAAGTGAGCTGGGTGTACTTCTTGAAACCATAACAATAATTTAGCGTTGCTGTAGAGCAGTTACTTAAAAGTTTTCAGTTAGAAGGAGCGCCTATAGAATCTCTGCAAATATGCAGCAGTTGTAGTCAAGCGCACTTCTTCAATTGTATATTGCAAATTATAGTTAAATAATAATTACAGATTGACCAGTGTTTGCAGACTAATTTATTGTCTTTTGTCAACTTAACACCAGTCGAATCATTAAAAGCTAAGAACTCAAATGGTAAGGTCAGTAACTATGTATTTCACCTGTGTACTGGTGGACCACAGCTTTTCCATGGACCGCCGACTGCTCTTGAAAACAATACCCAACAAAATGTATTTGCTCCTTCTTATTTGCATTCATCTATTTGCATTTTATTTTACTTGTAAGACAGTCACCCTCAAAAATTCTACGCAATCTCAGAAGAATATGGAAGGAAGTTGTACCTACAGTTTAGCTCCGTACAGTATTTCACACAAATTGGATAGTTCGGCCGAAAACAGGGTCAAAAAGCTTCCCAGCATGGCAGATGTGCTTGAAATGTTTTGTCAGAAATTTTTACCATGATTTCAGGAAATTCAGTTTTGAAAATATTCTTTTCATAATGTCCATCAAAATATATATACATATATAAAAATTCCAATGCTTTACCGAAGGAATCTAACTAAATTGTTTTTTATTCAAAAAGTCAGAAACAAGCAGGAGCTTTCCAAAATAGACGTCATCTGCATGTTCTTACTGTGTGTGAAGAGAGAGATGAAGATGAAGAGAACCATTGCAGGCTTGACTTTCTGCGGGCAGCACTAAAAACATGAACAGTGGGTCAAAAGCGGTTGTTAGCTTGAGTTACGATGATGGTGTGAAGGGCTCCCATTTCAGTTCATTAGCCCCATTCTTGCACTCTTCGATTCTTTTCTTTGGATCAGTGTTAGATATTTATTTTCGGAAACAGGACACATGCGTTATGATAACAGATGCAGTTCTGATACAGGACATACATTAAGAAAACATATAGGTCTTTTTTTTGTGTGCGGTACTGGGGCCTGGCCTACTCCCCGGCCCCCAATGTAAACACTGTAATAACATCTCTAAAGGATTTACTTTATAAATTATTTCACTTATTTTATTTTATTTTTTAACCCCACAAAAGCAAAATTGGGTTTTCTGTCAAATATACACAATTTCAATCATTTTTAAAGCATTCAGTTTGAGAAAGGCCATATAACAGGGGTGTAATGATTAATGGTTTGACCCAGAAAATTATTTTTTGATTTGAAAAATGCCCGTGTATGGAATCGAACCGAACCAAATCACTCCACTTTGAAATATATCAAGATGCGAATCAAAATCGAATTCCACCGAGTCGAAACAATTCGAATCGTTCCACTTTCAAATCGGCCCACCCCTGTCTTGTTTCAGAACCCACAAATTGAAAACGGTATTGAATCGTTTTTTTGTGGAGAAATGCACACCGCTACTATATAAAACTCAACCCAACTTTTTCCCATCATACACCACATTTGAGCTATTTTGCCTTTTTACTTCAACCTGAATTCAACCAGGTAAGGGAACTGAGAACAGATTCTCATTTGCAACGCCGACTTGGCAGCAGAAAGCAGAGTTAGAAAAAAAAAGGCAAATACAAACATATCAACAACAAACTAATATTGTTACATGATACACATATGGTGAATTAAAAAGGTTCCACACTTAAAGAAGATGGCGTTTGGATTCGAAGGCAGGCTTTGTATAATCTGGTCTTTTAATTTAAGTTAGATAAGAAAGTATAAAATCTTTTTTTTCTCACGGTTGCCTCTCCCCTGAACGGGAACTTTCCACATATCCGATTATCCAACTATTTTGTATAATGCTTGCCCTCATTCGGGTCACGGGGAAGCTGGATCCTATCCCGGCTGACTGGGCGATAGGCAGATTGAACGGAAAAGCTTAATAGACAATGTCGTAGATTGAAATGAAGATCAGCCAAACTATCAGGTATTTGTCCATACAATTTTATTTTTATGCTTGTATACTTTCACATATCTAATCAGCACTAATTGCGTAGCAGGTATAGTTTAAGAATTACTCCTCAAAGTAATACAAATAATAAATTAAGCATGTCAAAATGAGCTTATCACTCACTTGCAGAAAAACAACAAAAAAAGTTGTCATCTACTGGCCATTGGATTTGAACCAGATGATCTTGATGGTGATGAAGCTGACAGATATGAAGAGGAGGTAGATGCCAAACAGCACGCGGTCTATGATGAAACCCACCTGGATCCACTCTTTTGAGCTCTGGGTGCTCCCCAGCTGCTGCTCCACCTGCAGGCGGAGGACTTTCAGGTCTCCACCAAGGCTCCTCAGCTCCTGTAGGGCCCTGTCCTCCATTGCTGGTTCTTTCTCCTCGTGAGGGTTGTCATCACATCCGCGCAGTGTCGAGACGCTGCTGCTTCCTGTGTCTATATATTAGCAGAGAGTCGCTGTATCAGGTACATCAGAAAAAATCCAGGACTGATGTCACAAAAGATTCATTTTTGACGCAAACTGCGAATATCCCCTTTCAATGTAGGCCGAAGATCAACCAGCGCAAAGGTATCATGGTCCCTATACTTTTGTTCAGAGCGAGAGAAGAGGTGAGAGTTGAGGCCGGGCAACTCACTGGTGTTTTAATGTGACTGCGTGCCTGCTCACAATACTTTACGCCTTCGACAGTTTCTGGCGAAGAAGAAAATCGCCGCGCTGGAGCAATGTGCCGACCCACCCGACCTGGCTACGTGTGTTTTCCCCTTCTTTCCTTCCCCATGAATGACATGAAGATGGCTGCGATCACAGAGTTGCCGAGGATCTCTGACGAATCTTTCCCGGGCCGGTGTGTGTGAAGTTGTGGCAGAGAATGCCGGTAAAGTGTGGAGGGATTACGTTGATGGGATCTTATAGCTCAAATTTGAGAGATAACCTTCGTGACACCAGTCCTGAAAACCTGCTGAATCATATAAAATCTAAACAATTTTCAGTGATATTTTAATATTAATGCATTAATCAGCACCGATTTCTGTATACCTGCATCTTTGACTTCTTTCCAAGGCAGACCAACAACACGACCCAGAAAGTGCAGAACAAATACGCGGATCCAGTGAGGAACAGGAATGACATTTTTCGAGCTGAGCAGCAAGTTGGTGATGAGAATTGTCTCCAGGAGACTGGCCACCATCAGAGCCAGGCACATAGAGAAGAAAATGTCTGCCATGAAAGACAAGTGGTAAGTCATACACATATTCAGTTTTAGATGAAGCGGTCAAGGATTATATAAACAATTGTAAACTCAAGCAAAGAAATCCACACGGGTTGCTTCTTGCGGTAAAACGCGTTTGCTTGAATTTGAATTGCGACGACATGGAAATCCGTACGTGTTTGCCCGCACTGTTTATAGATCATGCAAATGATCAATGCTGCCATTGTAGCTCTTCACCACACTTGCTGCACCTCAGGCATTTGTTTATAAAATCATTGGGTGCATGTGCTATTATTTATGCAGTCGCACAGTCTACTTGGAAGTCTGAACATGAACTTGCAAGAATTTCACTGGTATAGTTGAAAATTGCAAACCTATGACAGAAGTCCATCTATCCAATCATATTCTATCCTTCCTTTCGTAATTACGGTTGCGGGTGAGCCATATCTCAAATGATGGTTTTGAGTGTCCATTAAGTTATTCATTTCGAGATTTAGCAAACACTCATGCTAAGGCTGCGCTATCTCACCTATGAACTGATGAAGCCTGCTCATATTTTTGTAAAACAACCAGAACAGTCTTCTTACGCTTGGTGGAAATGTACTGCCTTGTGGAAAGGTGATTATAGCAATTACAGTAATTAACAGTACCTAGTGGGCACCACCTGTTATTTTCTATCCTGAGCACAAAAAGGTTGCATCTATTTGTGGAGTCATTTTAAATGGATGATAATCCTTCGACCTATTATCTATAAATCTGTGCAAAGGTTTGTTAGACCAGGTGTGGGTAATTAAAAAAAAAAAGGTCTGTTTGTGTTGTTGTGGGCTTAGACACAGCCAACTAAATTCGTCGCCAACCAAAGCGGCTTCTCTCATTCCCTTTAAATGTGGTGCACTCACAGTACGCTCTCTGTGGAAACAGAAATATGTGACAACGTAAGCCCCTATGCAATCCCCTAAAATCAATAACCCTTTTTATTCACATAGAGAAATAACATTTTCAAAATTTCAGAGTCGGATAATAAATATGCATGAAAAAAAAAATCACAAAAGATTGGAATTCTAATTCAAAAAAAACTTGACCTTTTTTTTTTTTTTAAATAAAGTACCGCTGTGTTGTAGAAAAAAGAAAAAAAAAAAAGAACAATGACAAATGCCTTAGAGCAGGGGTCCCCCAACCGCCGGTCCGCGGACCGGTACCGGTCCGCCGGGCATTTGGTACCGGGCCGCACAGAAATTCTGTTTTATTTATTTCGGAATCCGAAAGATGTTTTATTTTGAAAAACTACCGGATTCTCCGTTACATCCGTCTGTGTCGCGCTTGACACACGTCAAGCCACGCTTCTCCATCACGTGACCGATTACTTCAAAACAAACGCAGCAGCTCGCAAAATGAGTAAAAAAAACTGCTGGAGATCGCAAATCACGGCGGCCTTAAAAATACGTTCGAGACAACTGGATTAAAGTTATGCCTGAATACTCTGAGATCACCACAATAACACTGTTGCTATTTCCGACATCCTACCTGTGTGAGGCGGGGGGTTTCTGCAGCAACGGCGACGAAAACAAAATTACGAAGTAGACTCGACATAAACCACACACTTGAGGTGTCATTGTCTCCTATTACCCCGAGATGGGACCGTCTGGTTGCAGAAAATCAAGCTCGGTGCTGTGGTGAGTCGTCATTTTCATGCACTTTGAATTTGCATTGTTTCGTCTTTTGAAGGCATTAAACATTGCCATAGCGATCGGAGTGTTGCGGCCAGCTTAGACGCTCCTTGTGTTTATTATTATATTTCGAAAACGCCACAGTTTTCATGCAGCTCATACCATATTATTTTGTTGTATTATTTCCGTCACACCTTAAATGCCGGTCCCTGAAAATATTGTCTGACATAAACCGGTCCGTGGGGCAAAAAAGGTTGGGGGCCCCTGCCTTAGAGCGTCAGCCTCACAGTGTAGAGGTGCAGAGTTCGATTCCAGCTCCGGCCTTACTGTGTGGAGTTTGCATAGTCTCCCCTTGCCTGCATGGGTTTTCTCCGGGTACTCTGGTTTTCGCCCACATTCCAAAAACATGCATGGCAGGTTAATGGAACACTCTAAATCGTCCCTAGGTGTGAGTGTGAGGGTGGATGGTTGGTCGTCTGTGTGCCCTGCAATTGGCTGGTAACCAGGTCAGGGTGTACCCGGCCTACAGTCCCAAGACACCTGGGATAGGCTCCAGCACACCCCGCGACCCTTGTGAGGATCTGAAAATGGATGGGTAGATGGATGGATGGATGGATGGATGGATGGAGGGTTTGACTGGATGAATGACAGATGCCATGTTCCCCACCATATATATGACAGAGACATGATGAACTATTCTGGAGAATAGGTCCTGACTGTACACATAAAGGGAAACTGACCGTGAGTGTAGCACTTACTGATGATGGGAATGGTGTTTCCTGTGATAGGCAGCAGGTCATTCATGATCAGCAGGAAGACGGTATAGCCGAGGATGAGGGTCATCTTGAAGGAGGAGCGGTCCACGCTTTGCGGCGGTAGCAGGAAGCTAAAAAGGTCCACTGTGATCAGGAAAATGCTGGGGAGCAGCAGGTTTACTACATACAGCGTTGACCTGCGTCGCAGTCGGATCTAGCAAAAGAATCGAAAACATCTTGTAGTGCTTTGCTTCCTCAGGACTCGGATGTATTGTTATATTCAGATTCGGTTCATCTGCATGCAACATGATCAGACATACATGAAACTGAAGCTCGTCCACATAGTTATCCTCACTGTCATGATGATTCAGCTTTACGGCAGTGATATTCAGCAGCTCCCACTCCCCCAGAGTGGTCATCACTCTCTTGGATTTCGCTGTGATGAGATTGTCCGACATCGATAAAGACACCTTTAAATCTCGTGCTGAACAAAAGAAAACAGGTTTAGTTGGAAACGCCAGAAACTGCACCATTTTGTTTTGTACTGCATGATTAAAAAAAAGGCCCCCATTTATTACCGTATTTGTTAACATTTCAATTTGGAATTGAACCAGCATTTTCTGGAAAAAAGATGGCTCAAAAATTATGTGAAAACCACTTGTCTCATGAGACAATCTCGGACACAGGTGTCGAATTCAAGACTAGAATAAAATACTACGCCAACTTATGTTTTTTTGTTTCTTCTTTTTGGTTTGGTAAGCAATCTGTACCAAATTTGCAGTGTTTGTTCTCTTTTATGTCCAGTTTAGTATCTCCCACCTGTTCATGATACATGAATTAAACAACAGTTATATACTTTCACAATGTGTTTGCATGCCACAATTTTCCATGACTTCTGATTTTTTGCATTTTTGGGAATACATAATATATCAGTTGCAGGGACAATTGTGTATATGTTATGACATGATAAGCTCACAGTTTATATTTATATACAGCATTACATACATTTCTGAGATTATAGGGCCCTTTGAGGGAAACCATAACCACGATCGGGCCCACAATTTAATCAAGTTTATAACACCTGATCTTAGTTGTTAGTTAGCTACCAGGTAGTGTAAATATAAGTCGCTTCCCTACTTTAACCCTTTCAGGGACAGCGGTTACTACACTGGACAGCTTATCATGTTACAGGTTATCATTATAAATGCATGAAAAGGTTAAAGATATTTATTCATCCACAGAAGATGTATTTGCATTTTATTCAACGATCAAGCGATGTTATTCTTTTGATTCTTTTAATTTTAACATTCAGTCGTTTGACAATTCATTTTGTGTATGCCATGAACTTGTTCCGCTATGATTAGCTGGAGTAATACTTTGCAGTAAATCTAGTTAATGACATCAACCATTCCAATGTGAATCTCACCTTACTTTTATGGGGAAATGCCCATATGAACAACTGAATTTGATTTAATGACTAGCCCCCGCAGAGCTCTCGTGAGTCCCATCTATCATTCAACTTTAATAGGAACAATTCTGAATACTAAAACCCCCCTGAGGACAGTAAGAACAGCACATTCGATGTAGTTTCCACTTGAATTGTCAGCCTTAGCCGTAAAAGCAAATCACATCTGAATGACGTCCTTATTTTCAAACTTCCACAACTTTGATCAAAAGTCATCATGCAAAATCTGTTACCCAAGTTAATGAAGGAACCGAAGGTAAGAGTGCAGTCCTGTCTGTCAAAGGGGAAAGTGTAGATGTCCAGATTACACGAGCTGACAACTCTGGCTGGTTTTGCGTCGTGCATTTTTCCATTGCTGTGCAGATTCACATAAGGAACGAATGGAGCTTTGTCTTGATCCATACTGCAACACACGGATGTAAAAAAATATGCATTGCCTTGGTTATTTCCCCAGAAAGCAAGGGAGATGGTTTCCATCGTACAGAAGTATTATGACTAATAAATAAACAGGCTTTGGTGATGTGCCACTGGTTTATATAACTTTACCTCCCTGTGCGAGTTGTTGTTATTTCTTTGTTTTTTGCGGTGGGTGGGGGGGGGCTATATTTGGGCCACAGCGAAAAGAAAATCAATACGTGAGAATATAGTCATAGAATAGAGTTATGTTCCTGAAAGAACGACACATACGGGTATTTATTCTGTCGTATGTTTATTGATGTACAGAAATGCCTGTGAATCTAAGAGATACACAGATTAGGCTTTGAAACTCACAATTCACGGATGACAAGATCTGGAACCCAAAATTTATGTCTGGGAAGAGTAATCTTGTCAGTGCCACACTGGACTGGGTCCCAGTTGACAAACTCATTCTGCCACCACTGATGCAACGTGGACATGAATGCAAATGGAAAAGTGATAATGTCACACATCGTCGTAGTTCCATCAAAAAAAGAATGAGGAGGCATTACTTACAAAATGCTGCCAAAGATAAGTCGTCAGGAGTTGGGCCTTCTCATCCTGAAGAGCAGATACTTCAATTATGTCAGCGTTACATACATTTAATGTCAATACAGCAACAAATACTACTCTCCACTATATAATTATGCATCCAACCAGCAGCCAACCTCCCACGATCGACCCATCAACACATGGGCAGGCATACTCATGCGCGCACACATTCGCACGCACACAATGTGCCATGATGAGCAACAGCCTGAACGAACCCTAACATAACAGAAAAATAAAGTAGAAAAAAGAGTTTGTGCAATGGAAATCATTGCCTGGTTGGGCACCCCTGCTACATATAATCCCGCTGGTGGCTCAAGGTCCCCGTGACTGTGAACAGCATAAATGGTACAGAATCATAATAGAGGGATTTATATTGAGCCGAACATACCACTCCTAATATTCCATAGAGCAGGAAGTATAAGCTGACGTTGGTTGGAGTTGTCATGTTTGTGACTGGCCGAATGGCGCCCATCTTAAACATCGGCTTCAGGGCCTCCAGCAGTGCCAGTTGGTTCGGTGCAGAGCAGTTTATACTGATGGCGTTGCATGGAGCTGATATATAAAAAAAACAACAGCTCTGGAATTATTTTGTACATAATTTAATTAAAAAAAAAAAAAAAAGTCCCCTAGGCGGAAATTCAGCTGAGCACACAATCACATATGTTAACTAGCTCTCTTCTCCTATCTATGCCTGATCTGTCCTATCCTTTTGAGTGCTGACAAACACATACCTGCAATCAAGACCACCAGCACAATCAGCATGGGCTTTGTTGAGAGAAGGATCCACTAGAATCCAAGTGGTATCAGTTACAAGTTGATCAAAGCATACAGGATGTACAAATGGAAAGGAAACTACCTTATGTGAAAGATTTGTGAAGGTCATGACATCAAATCTTTTCCCGCTGTGTGCCTACCGGTAATCGTAGAACAGTACAGTATTCCTTTATCATATTATTAAAATATAAATGTCAATTCTGACAGGATAAAAAGGACTTACCTATCAGTCCGTAGAAGACTTGATTCTTCCTTATTGGTCTGCTTGTACATACAGTACTGTGTATATATAGTGGGACTGCACCTGAAGCATGAAGCGGAGAATTTTAAACATGCAAATAATGTGGTTAAAGCAAAACTCTGCAAGACAGGCCAACCACTTTATCCATATTGGTATGCATCCAAAAACAAAACAAACCGCAGGTTCAGT